AAGGCTGGAGCGAAAGGCGAGACCGTGTCGCTGCGTATCAAGGCTCGGTACCAAAACGTGACAATACTTCCACTGAAGCTGTACAGTGGACTTCTGAAGGTGCGATTTGCTAAAGACTGTGTGTACAGGAAAGTGATATCATTTCTGTAATACCGATTTAGTATCTGGTCAATAACTACCTCTCTCTTTGCCGCGAGTTGGAATGCCGACTTGGAGTGAAGGCGAAGGTAGCGTCCATTCCATAGTCCTCTTCCATTCACTGTTTCATTTTCAGGAAGATTTCGCCAACAGTCTGATTCGCATTCTGCAGGAAAAGCGATTGGCTAAGGACTTCTTGTGCGAACTGATCATGTTAGAGGTCGAACATCTGGGTAAGGTTATGATGCTCGTTGTGTTGGCGTCACCGACCGCTTTCAGATAACGACCACCTGATGTTTCGTGGAAATTCTTTGGCCACAAAGGCAATGGAAGCTTACATAAAGCTTGTCGGCGAGGAATACCTTCATGAAACTTTATCAGATTTCGTACAATCCGTGCTTAGCTGCGGCCACGATTGCGAAGTAAGTTTCTGCTCCTTAGTTGTTCGTGTATATCGGTAAGGAGCTATGGACTCAGGTCGATCCGGAAAAGGTCGCGTCACCAGTGCTCATCACGAAGCATCAGGAACTTCTAATGAACTGGGTGCGAAAAGCATGGACGAAAATTGTTGACTCGTTTTATGAGTTTCCCACGTATGACGTTGTTCGTTGTTCCCCGCAGATCGCATATACTTTTCGTTTATTGCAGGGAGCTTATAAAGGTCTTCTCCGAACTGAGGCAGCGTCTGAACGACTGTGGTAGAGGCGAATTGGCTGACAACCTTATATCATCGAGCATATTCCTCCGCTTCCTTTGTCCGGCGATTTTGTCGCCAAGTTTGTTTAACCTCGTTCAAGGTAGTCTTATTATTTGCGATATTTGCATAAATTGTTTTGTTGTGCAGAGTACCCGTGCGGAAAGACTGCACGCAATTTGACCCTCATTGCGAAAACGATTCAAACGCTCGCGAACTTTACTAAGTTTGGCGGAAAGGAGCACTACATGGATTTCATGAACGAATTTGTTGAGGAGGAGTCGAACAATATGAGGAAGTTCCTGGACCAGATCTCCGTAAATTTTTCATTGGTCTTCGTCTCTTTGATTATTGTCACATGTTGCCTTAACCTCTTTAGAATCCTGCTTCATTCACCATGCGGCGATCGAATGCTGAATGGAGCGGATGTATCGACCTTGGCAAAGATTTGTCCCTGCTTCACGCATATCTAGTCGAAGTTCTTCCACATAATGACATGACGGTAACTTGACTTGCGTGTTTTCTCTCTTTTTCATTCGTTCCCGATTTGTGATGGAAAGGTTTTACTGAACGTATCATTCTGTAAGAACTGGTGAATTTTCTACGAGATTCTGACGTTACGAGCCGAAAACGATTATTTGCATGTTGGTTTTTCATCAGTTTTAGTCGTATCACTGTAGATTGAGACGAAATATATCTTGAACAGTAGTTATTTTGTCCTCTGCAATTAATGGCCTCTCGTCGCACATCGTGGTGTTTTTGTTCAATTGGCGGTTCGATCAGTACCACCTCTGCAAGGGTGACAGGTGACAGCCATGCCGAATCTGGGCTTGCGTGGTTCATTTCTAGGCGTTTCAGTCGCTTGCTTGAGTCACCAGTTTCTTGTTTCGCGAAAACGTGTAGTTAAATGCCGACGGAAGTGGTAAGTGTCTGAACAAAAGCGTACTGATAGTTACCACAACCGTCCAACGGCACACAGGCTCCGCAACGTTTTGCGCTGCGACTTCTTTAGAACCGATCATCAGTCGGAGTTCTTACAACTACATTTTGACATCTGATATCTTTAGGCGTATTCATTGGTGGAAACGTGCCGCGGTTTTCTCTGAAAAGTTTGAAATCGTTGGGCCGTCATTCTCCTTTGCACATGTGTGACGGCGCCATTTTTGGTACTCTTCCTTCTTATACCATATGGCGCGATTTTTTGATCTTTATTTTCATTATGTCAGCCAGAATTGCACTTATAAATGGAAAGCGTAAATCCATGCGGAAGGTATGTATGTGTATGTAACCTCCTGCTTTTTCTTCTCCATTGTGACGCTCCGTCTGTCTTGCAAGTGTGAAAATCCATAGCAGGCCCGGTTGGAGTTTTGACTGCGTCCCGGTGTTGACGGATAGAATTCTGTCTAAAGATCATGGAGTCGAGTTCCATGTCGATCGGTCGTCTTCTTTTTGAACTAAGTCAGTGAGCATAACCGACAGTTTGTTCAGAAAGCAGGACAAGTCTCCAGATCGTATAGTCGTAGCCGGTTCAACTTCACTTCGGCTGATGACATTTAAATGGACATTAGCGCCGCAACCTAATCTCCATGAGAAAGGCCTGCTGAAATGACGTGCATCGTTGAAGCGTAATGCAGACAGCTTATCAGAATAGTTGCCAACCGTTTTGAGCGTTGTTTTTTGTCCGTGAGTTCGATGCGACTTCGGCGTAGTGTCCCGCACAGCGTGCCCATTTTCTACTCATGGTATTGGCGCTATCGAACATCATGTCGGCTCGATGGTTGCCCAGGTTTACCAAGGGTTGCGCAGGCTGTTGGGGGACTGAGGCAGACTGCAAAATGTTGGCGATCAGAACTTGTCTCGCTTTCTGGAAACTGAGAGCGTAGCACCACGAGGATGGCTGCGAAAGATAAACACGACAGTGACGAGAGTACCAGTCAGAAATGTAGTCTCTAGCCGTCTGCCAACAGAGTATGCTGACAGCGCGATGCCATTATAGCACGTCGGATAAGATTCCACGCGAACGAACCTATAATAGCACCTCACAGTCGGAAGCTGGAACATCGCCTCACTTGGGAGGGGAGCAGAAACTGGTTGATGAGGCCGCGAGTATCGACTCGATCTAATTGGATACTCGTTAACGAACTGCCAGGGCTTTGGAATTCTGAACCTCTGCTGATGGAGGCTAATCGTCTACGTTGTTGATTCCACGACCTGCGTTGAAGCCGACGTTTGCGTTCTCGTAGAACCCAACCACCTGGCTAGCAGAATCATCGAATGGAAGCCTGTCGGCGGAAGAGTTATAGTTAGTCCTACGACGGAAGTTGCAACTGACGAATGCTTTGGCCATGTTACAAGTCTACACGTCTTGTGCCTGTTTCTGAGGAGAATATTTGCCTTTCTTGAACGAAATGTATAATGCACCGAACGATGCGCTGGCTGCAAAATCCATCTTTCTGATGGGCGACGTCAATGCGCTTGTCGGACCAGACACAGAAAAGTGGGAAAGCGAGATTGGTGGAAAGAACCGGCCTAACGATCTTAGTAATAACGGCATGAAATTGCTGCGCTTTTGTGCAAACGAAGTGTGCGATGTGCTTTAAGTTGGAAATTCAATTCGAGGCGGCGCAAAATTATTGAATTTTGCTCCCTAAATCTTGTTTGAGTGTTTGAGTTTGTTTATGAGC